GATGTAAGTAGCTTATAGATGGTAGGTAAGCATGTAATTGGTCTGTAATTCTTGGGATCCGAGGTATTGCCAGATTTATAAATCAAATAAGTGATACCAGATGTCATGAAATCTGGGAGTGATCCCATCTCAAGGGCCTGTTGGAATTGAGCTGCCAGGCGTTCATGTGAACTTCGGATCCACTTGATCCAGTAACTGTGCAGTCCGTCCGGTCCCGGACTTTTCCAATTTGGCATCGAACGTACTGCACGAGAAACATCAATGGCGGATATTGTTATTGGATCCATCTCTTTATACGATTCACATTCCCGTCTGACAGTTTGTATCCATTCCCCTTCAGAGTGACCAATGGGTATCGACCAAATATTTTTCCAAAATGTTGACATGTCCTCTTCATTGACATTGTATGGCTCATCGGTCACTTGGGATTGAGACGACTCCCAGTTTCTGTATACACTTCTTTGATCTCTTTGGAAAACTCTATTCAAATGGTATCGCTCAGATCTTAGACGATACCGACGAATACGACTTGCCCAAGCATAAACTTTTTGCTTCCAGAAGTCTATGCGCTCAATAATACAGGTCATGTATTCGTTTGAGCTTATTCCAGTTCCGGCAAAAGCCTGATCGACGAAACACATAACCCGTGGACGAGTATTTCCTTTCGGGAAGCACATAAGCTTTGCTATAAGAATCCTGGCCCTATCAATTCGCTTCTCAATTCTGCACTGCCATTGTGGTTTAGTAGGGGGTCGATAGGCTGTCTGGGTTAAATTTGGTTATTATTATTATTATTATAGCTTTCGTTCATTGTGTGTTTTTCGAAGAGAATAATAATATTATAATGCGTAATTAATTCAATTAACATTTGCTTGTTCATTGCTAGAAATTTGATCAGTCAAATTATTGAAACCTTTGGGGTCGATGCTTCCCGCTTCCGCGGGCTTAATCCGCGATAGGTAGCCTCCGGGTGGTGATAACGGGAGCCGATAACATAAGCGGTGGTAGACCTTGTCTACTTGTGGGGTTTCAATACAAATAAACAACCCTATAATGCTGAAAGCATCACCTCAACCTGCAGGTTCCACGAGTGTACAGCATGCACTCATTTTTTTATCATGAGATATCTCATGATAAAAAAAACCGAAACGTAATTAAGATGGATTAATGAAATTATTCTACATGTAATAATCATTATCGATCAGTTATCTAATAAATCTGACTTGTAATAAATGCAATAGATGACACCAATAGTGCAGTCGTAACTGAAATGGCAATCTGGACTGTTGTGATATTTCTGGTGGCGTTCGTCGGGGGTCAGGTAAATACGGTTTTATTCATTATACATTATCAATACGTCATAAAGAAACAAACAAGCTATAGTATTTAGGCCGTGTGTTTAAGAATTGTTCTCGAAAACAACAAGAGTGTTGATTTTGGTAATTAACAACACGATACCACTCAATAATAATGTTCAAAAGTTGTTATTATCCTAAATTCGCTTTCCACCCAGGCAGACAATGTAGTACGGTTGTGTTACATTGCGTGCGAAGTCAATCGTTGTGAGGGAGCACGAGAGGTGGCTTATGCATTATTTTACGGACAGAAATGAACTACAACAACAATAATTACAACTAGTCTGTTTATTTTATACCATTCCATGAAAAATAATGTTTGTATGTCTCCTTGAACGTGATCTATGCATTCGTATATACTTTGTCAGAATTGATACTTGGTAAAATGACGTATTGACGTTTCAGGGAGTTTTTTTTTGTAATTCTCGGAAATTTTCAACATATTTTTTTAAAATTTAATCATAGTTTAGGTAGCATGAGTAAATATTGCCATTCTCCTGTATCTCACAGTTATGCGTTCCGTATTAAAACGTGGGCAAAAATAAATCAGTGGACTCCGACCTTTTAGCATCACGCGGGCCTTAATTCATCCAGTGCACAAAACCAGATAGATGCAAAACTGTATCAGCAGTCCTAGTAATAATAATATGTAATTCTCTCTGCGACTCGCGAATACAGCAAAATGTACTACGTGTCGTTCAAAGGTACTTATCTTAAAGAACAGTAATTGTTATTTCAGATTTTCGTTTGTTTCTTTGGATATTTGGTCTTTGAGTTAGCAACTGTTTGGTAAACCTCGAACATACATAGATGATTCACTTAATATAGTATTTTAAACGGGTTCCGCCAGACGTAAAAGCAATGAAGACTGCTTTTACTTATTGATTGTGACCATGAAAACTGCAGTATTGAAAAGGTCGGAAACATTAGGGCGATAAAATAAAGCCGCAAAATTAGTTTGTGTATATTAGGACCAACTAATGTTGAGTGCTTACCATTTCTAACGGAGTGCCATAGGAAAGTGGCCGCCCGTCATTGATTTTTTAATCTCGGCAAACTGCCAAACAACACCGGTCAGTGACTTAGCATATTTTTTGTTTTAAAAATCGTGTTGCTGGGTATTTTAAAAACATTAAGACGATGACTCTTTCAGGCGCTCGCCGACGACACCGATTTCACTTTCCCTGAAATCGCTCGCGGTAAGTTTTATTTAAGTTTTAGTAAGTTTTAGCTTACGGACATCAATAAGATAAATGCCGCCACCCACCTTGAGATACGTGTTCGAAGTATCAATTATTACAGTAAAACAGCCGCCCAACCTAGATGGCGTTGCACTACTCGAGTAGTTCTCGGTTTTACTAGCTCTTTTGATATTCGCTTCTGCTATTCGACTATAGATTTTATCAATCGTTAATTGGGTATAATTACGTTTATCTGTTTTTAAATACCGTCATAGTTGGGCACGGCTGTATTGTGAATCCACAAGAAAATTATTGACTCTGTGTCCCGGCTTGAAGTTTTGATCTGCTTCAGCCTCTAGGACTATGAAACGACTTTGATTCGTGAATCGCATGTGAACCATTCTATTAGACTTTGAAATTAACTCCCCTCCGCGATGTTTACTATATACTACAAAATGTCCTGCGAGCGTGACTTCAATGGTGTTCTTCTCGGATGGCGGCGCAGTGTGCTTGGCATTACCAGGATAGGGTTTATGACGCGTTCCATTAAACGGGTATGCTTATTTGCCAAAAATGAGTAGAAATAACTGGTGGTAGGACGTATTTTAAGCCACACAGGTACCGCCATCCTGCTACGAAATTGGATCATGAGGCTACCATTCAAACCGGAACGCCTGACGACTTCGCGACACAAAGAAGAAGACAATATGTTGTTATTCTATAACTTAAATACGGAAAAATACCTACGTACTTTTGCGATAGGTACATTTCTTTAGTAAAAGTGTGTATCTGACTGTGAAATTTGAACAGAGCTCTATAATCGTATCACGTGAATGGATTTCGGAAACAAAGATTACAGATTTTTAATAAAACTTTCAGAGCGCTCCCTGCCGGGTTCTAGAATTGTATCAGGATGGGAGGCGAGTGAAGGCCAGTTCCCTTACCAGCTCTCGATTCGTATGGTCAGTACTGTGGGAGGAGTGAACGCCTGCGGAGCCACCATCATTCATAGCAACTGGGGACTCACAGCTGCTCACTGCACCGGTTTGTGAGTATCTCCAAGCAATATTACAGAGTTAACATTATAACGGGAATTTTTCCTTGAAGAACATTTTAATCATGGCCATATAATTAATATAAGCTGTCATTGGTTATATTTACCTCCTCTGCTCACCGTACACTGCTCTAGATAAGTAGAAAAAGGCGCAGCATGGTAATTGGTGGTAGTTTCCGATCACCGTCCTCGCTGAACCCGTCGAGTGCGACGAAGGGCTCGACGAGTAAATTAACCCACAGACACAGCCCACTGAGTTTCTCGCCGGACCTTCTCAGTGGGTCGCGTTTCCCGATTCGGTGGTAGATTCTGTGCAGAACTGCTTTTACTAGGAGAAGCTGAAATAGCCTATAAGCATAAGTAGGGAAAAGAAGGTGGTAACATTATTTATTCGATTTATAAGGTACAACCACTGCTTTGTGGCAGAAATAGCCGGGATGGGGGCACTTTTTTGTCCTACCTATGAGCTGGTAGCCTAAGGGGTTATTGCTGATTCTCGCGGACAGGTAGGTGAGCTCACGGGCTCAGCCTGAGAGAGTTTGCTGACACTAGCCTTAGCAAGAGCAGTGCTTCGCAGAATCTACCGCTGAATCAGAATCGCGAGCCACTGAGAAGATCCGGCGAGAGACTCAGAGGATAGTGTCCACGGAATGGTAGCACTTACACATGTAGGCTTGCAATGCATACGACAACCAGCTGTTACTGTTTTTTTATTCCACGGGCAGTGCTACGTGCACAGCTAAGTGCGTGTTTCTTGTTTTAGCGTATTCGCAACGTTTGATACAATTAAACTTGGCATCTTATCCTTTTACGCCACTACAACTTGTAATGACAGCTTGTGATTGATTCGTGTTTATCATTGATTTCCCCAGGCGTGTAACAATCATCGTCCGAGCTGGAGCAGTGAACCTGACCCGTCCCGGCTTGCTCTTCGAGACCACTAAGTACATAAATCATCCTGAGTACAGCGAAAATTTGAACGTAGTGCAGCCTCATGATATTGGTCTAATAGACTTTGGCAGAAAACTAGAGTTTAATGGTTGGTATTTAATTTTGTTATTTCATCATCATAATCACCAGCCCACAGTCGTCCGCAGCTGGACATAGGCCACTCCAAATCCACACCACTGGGCTCGGTCTTCGGCTTTCCTCATCCACCACTTGCTGACCACCATTCGGAGGTCATCGCACCACCGAGCCAGAGAGAGTCCCATGATACTTTTCTTATTTAGTTATTTGGTTGGAGGATGATGATTATGATTTTTTTTATTGCTTATACGGGTGGACGAGCTCACAGCCCACCTGGTGTTAAGTAGTTACTGGAGCCCATAGACATCTACAACGTAAATGCGCCACCCACCTTGAGATATGAGTTCTAAGGTATCATTATAGTTACAACGGCTGCCCCACCCTGCAGACCGCAACGCATTACTGCTTCACGGCAGAAATAGACAGGGCGGTGGTACCTACCCGTGCGGACTCACAAGAGATCCTACCACCAGTAAAAAGAAGAGTGTGAGAATGAGCATGACGTCAAACCTAGTTTTATCCTTCATTTCTATTTCTTGACTGGTTCGGACTTGACCCAGCTGTATAGCTTCATAATATTGAAAATGCCGAACCGCGCTTGGTGGCTTTGTTGGGATAACTCCAACACCTTATGTTTGAAGCTGGTCTTAAGCACTTTGAGGAGGGCTGCGTTTTGATCAATGATTTCCTTTTCCAGATTACATTCAGCCAATCAGACTGCAGAGATCCGCGGATAAAGATCGTAATTACGACAATGTCAGACTTGTCGCCAGCGGATGGGGTCGCACCTGGACCGGAAGTAAGCATCTTCCCTTCTAATTGTGAAAATGGTTTATTTTGTTTATCGGTTTTTACAAACACTACTGGTTGTATATTGGGCATTTGTGAACCTTTTGGCTTAGTGGGTTGGTGCCAAAATCCTTCTTCCTTCTACCACGAAACCGTTGCGGGTAACGGTGGAATAGGTGGAACCGCCGCTTTATAACACAATAGGGGCTTCAACCTTGTGCTTCAAGAGGGAGGCATTCTCTTCGTTATCAGGATGGGCCTATGGTGATAAATAGAGACCATAGACGCTAAGTTCATAAAGTTCATGATGGGTCTAATCGGGGTCAAGCCACGTAAGGTCACCTGGCTCTCACACATTGTTTGCCCGATGTGGGAATCGAACTCAAGACCCTCGGTCAGTTAGATGCACTTTCTGCTGGGCCGGTGATAGTTCCTGGCCGTATTCTCAGTACTTACATCAGTGTGCTTAGTGCGAGTTTTTTAACGTTCTCGATAGCGTAAAAGTTAACTCAAATTTGTATGGAGTTGGAAAATTTGCGGACGTTTGCCGCTAGGGGCGCTGTTTAACTTTTACGCTATCGAGAACGTTCAAAAACTCGGACTAAGCACACAGTATATCGTTTGCACAGGCGCATCTCCGGAGAACCTGAACTGGGTGTTCTTGAACGGAATATCGAATCTGCGTTGTATGGTGGCCTACAACTTCAGTCCCACCATTCAGCCCTCCACCATTTGCACGCTTGGCTACAACGACACTACGCAGTCCACTTGCCAGGTACGATCTCACGTATTCTTCTGCAGTAGAGCAGACAGACTGACTTCATTAGTCGTGGCGTAATTTCAATATGCGAGTCGGGATGAGAAGTTTTATGTCGTGAGACTGAGACGATAGAGCTGATCGATGGAAACTGCATCACAGTGACGAATTAATGTATCTTAGAAATCAATATATCACTTTGATCGCCTAGGGCAGTGGCTCTCAAACCTTTTGATTCATCGACTCACTAACATACCTTTTATATAAATAATAAAATGTCGCTAATGTTACTCTCCTGACATAAAACTATCACTTTAAAAAATCATATCAATCCATAGCTTCGTTTTGAAGTGAAGGAAAGGCACAAACACACAAAGAAATGAACAAACACACTTTCACAACTATAATACTAGTTATAGAAGTATGGGTACATAATCTATATATATAAAAATGAATTGCTGTTCGTTAGTCTCGCTAAAACTCGAAAACGGCTGGACTGATTTGGCTAATTTTGGTCTTGAATTATGGAAGTCCAGAGATGGTTTAAAGGTAGATAAATATGAAATTGCTCGGAATTAAATAAAAATAACAATTCTGTTTTTCCTTTTTTTTGTTTTAAGTTTATTTTATACAAAATTGTAGGTCTTTTATTTATCGTTTGAGGCACTACGAACTTTGCCGGGTCAGCTAGTTAATTTATAAAACGTAGTTGTACAGTCAACATCTAGTAAACAATTTTATTTACGCTAAGTATATCCCAGAGACGCGATATCTTATTTATAAGTTTCGCGACACACTTGACAGCAACTTGCGACACATCAATATCTCGCGACAATGTGTTTGAGAGCCGTTGACCTGGAAACATTTATATGAACGGGGATGTAATTTAGAAGTAATAATAAAATGATATTATTAACAAAAAAAGAGTTCATTGATCTCATAACGCCTAATGCTGCGAAAGACTGATCAAAATGATGAATTGAATGAATTATTTCCTTTTCCATTTCTATTAAATAGGGTGACAGCGGTGGTCCTCTGACAGTGATCGATGAAGACGGCCAAATCACACAAGTAGGAGTCACTTCGTTCGTGTCCAGCGAAGGCTGCCACGTGGATATACCTGCAGGTAAAGCATTTATTTATCTTAATTAGCGTTTGGCCGATCATTCGACCAAGAATCACCCGGCTCCGAGATTTATAACAACATCTCCCGGTCATCGTTCTCGTCGAACCCGTCGCTTGCGACGAAGAGCTCGGCGAGTAAATTAACCCTCAGACACAGCCCACTGAGTTTCTCGCCAGATCTGGTCAGTGGGTCGCGTTTCCGATCTGGTAGTAGATTCTGCGAAGCACGGCTCTTGCTAGGCTTCTTGTTAGCAACATCGTCAGGCTTCAGCCCCGTAAGCTCACCTACTAGACCGGTGACGTTTATGTGGTCTCTCTAGACCATCAGCTTAGGTAGGGAAAAAACACATCACGTCACATACACGAAATATATAATAAAAGAAACATTATCTTACAAATGATTTATTATATTAGTACAAGCAAGTGCTTAGTAGTTATTCTTGTCTAGATGATTTAATATTCCACCATCCGCGTAGGGGCGGGTTTTAGATAGAAGATCATTAAAAGTGAATTATAATGTTCGATTAATATGAATAAGAATGTATATTAATAAATAAGCTTATGATAGAAACGCGCTTTCTCAATGGTATCCCCACTAAAAGCGTCAACTTCTATCGTAAAAGACCCACATCCGATTTTCTAATGCATCTACATACTTAGGCGCAAACATAGGCGTCTCGAACTGAGGGTGCTGCGAGTCCGCACGGGTAGGTACCACCACCCTGCCTATTTCTATCATGAAGCAGTAATGCGTTTCGGTTTGAAGGATGGGGCAGCCGTTGTACTGTAATAACTGATACTTCAAACTCGTATCTCAAGGTGGGTGGCGGCATTTACGCTGTTGATGTCTACGGGCTCCGGTAACCACTTAACACCGGATGGGCCATGAGCTCGTCCACACATCTGGGTAATAAATAATATAAATAAACATATATTTATTGAATTAAAGATAGTGTAATTGTTCAATTTCTGAACGTAAAAATGTCAGCGACCGATGTCCGCCATAACACTAAATCTCTTTCAAATTCAGCCGCCAAAATGCTCACACATCAATTTTATAATTGTCTTTTAGTAAGTCGTTAATTTGTAATATAAAGGGTCAATAAATATTTCATATAAATGCTACAGTCCACGCTTAATTACCATAACGCAACAGTAACTAAACTATATCTTTGGTTTATCAGGTTTTATCCGGCCCGGCCACTACCTCGACTGGTTTAAGACGGTCACCGGTTTAGATTTCGATTGGACATCGAGCACAACAGAAGCACCTGAGACAACAGAAACACCCGGCGCAACAGAAGCGCCTGTGACAACAGAAGCTCCCGAGGCCACAGAAGCACCCGTGACCACAGAAGCACCCGGCGCAACAGAAGCACCCAACACAACTGAAGCACCCGACGCAACAGAAGCACCCGTGACCACAGAAGCACCCGAGATAACAGAAGCACCTTACACAACAGAAACACCCGAGACCCCAGAAACCAGATACCGAAACTTCGGCACCGCTTTTTGAATAGTAATATTCAAAAACAATTTGACTTTTTGATGAATGTTGAACAATTTTTTTAGTAGAATTTTAGTGAAATATAAATTATAATTCTAGTTTTGTGAATTTAATTGTTGAATATTTGTCGTCATCATTGTCATCAATCATCATCATCATCATCAATCATTCATTTTGGCCCCACAAACGCTTTATAGCCGTTGCATTTTTTTTCCTACCTATGTTGATAGGTTTGAGAGGCTATGTCAGCGTTATCGGACGAGTAGGTGAGCTCTTCTTCTTCTTATTCTTATCAGCCCACAGACGTCCACTGCTGAACATAGGCCTCTCCCAAGTCTCGCCACAAAGACCGGGCCTGTGCTGTCTGCATCCAGTGGATCCCCGTGAACCTCGATAGATCGTCGGTCCATCGTGTGGGAGGCCTCCCACGCTACGTCTTCCGGTACGCGGTCTCCACTCAAGAACTTTCTGGCCCCAACGGCCATCCGTTCTACGAGCAATGTGTCCTGCCGACTGACAGTTCAACGTCGCAATCCTTTGGGCTATGTCGGTTAACACGGTTTTCCTGCGAATCTCCTCATTTCTGATTTGATCTCGCAGGGAAACTCCGAGCATAGCTCTTTCCATTGCTCTTTGGGTGATCTTGAGCTTTCTCATAAGGCCCATTGTGAGCGACCACGTCTCGGTGCCATATGTCATCACTGGCAACACACACTGGTTTTATTTAAAGGCTTTCGTCTTGAGACACTCAACAAACACTTTAAAACTCTCAATTCGCTTGTTCCACTTCGCTTCAGGTGATCCGTTCGCTGTTTCGCTTCGAGTAGTTTCGATTACTGACTAACTGCGTGCCATCCCTCCAACGCTTCTATAGTCGATATCTCATCCCTAGAATTATCGAGAATATTCCACACATCTCTAGTAGTAGTTTCCGCTATCTGACAATAGACAGCGTTGTACTTCTCGAGCATTCTAGGTGCTACTAGATCCTTCGATATTCGTTTGACTATTCGGCGATAGATGGCGTTACTTTTACCGGTGTAACAATATGTTCTAAGCTAAAAATCATGATTTATTATGAACACGAATTTTTACAAATATAAATGTCTTATCACTGAAATAATCATTTTACAATCTTACATAATTTGCACGATAACCTGAAACAATCGCAGGAAGTATTTAAATTGATGTCGAAAGATTAATCTAACGGTTAATATTCTACTTATTGATAATAGATAATACTAATCTGATAATGTAATGTAAATTAGATTACATTTGTTCTAATTAATTTTACTTAAAGTGCAAATTCTAGACAGCTACGGAAAGGAATGATAATGTACCCAGATACGTTAGTAGTTTCAATAATTATGTCAAAAGTATTTCAAAGTCAAATCAAATGACGTAAGTTATATGTTTACTATATGGAGGTTAGAACTAAGGAGTACTAACTATCTCAGTGTATTAAAAAACGTTCGCTGAAAGGAAGCCAATTAGGGTGGCGCCATAGTAGCAAGGGGAAAACTTTGTCCACCATCTTAGCAATAGAAAAAAAAGGCTAGTTAATAGGCTATAGATAGACCAGCGAATAGGCAGGCGGAAAAAAACTAGTCGTTTGTGTGCCTCATAGTTTACAACGTCAAATTACTGGTTTATGAATAACTAGATGATGACCGAGCATTCTTTTTTTTTTTTTTTCGTGTAGAGGTCCGAACCTCCTACGAGGTCCCCGCGCAAAAGGGGCGCGCGGGGTATGTGAGACTCAACGATCTGCATGGTGTTGTCAGCAGACCGGGGCCCAAGGATTTTAGGGCCCACCCACTAAACGACTCCCCTGCACTCTTACACCCGACGTCCGATCCCTTCTGAGGTCAGAACCCGGTTGAGGTAGGGGGGTTACCGCGGTCAACACTACAACCAGACGGCGCGGCTCACCCCAAGGACGCGCAGCCGACGGAGCCTTCGAGGTGAATCGAAGGCTCTGAAACGTCGGCCGTCTCGGTACGGCAGCCCGTCGGGCCGCCCGGACGGTGCCGCTGGTGTCCCGGAATACCCCGCTGCACCAGAACCAGCCTGCCGGGTCGGGACGCGATACACCGTCGACCGGTCGCTCTATTTACTCCACGGCAGCGCGCTAGAGTGCTGGTAGCGCGCCGCGCGGCCTCACCCCCTCAGGTCGCCCCTTGACCTTCACCGGGGGGAGGCCGCTACCTACAGGGGCCGGGACGTACGGGCGTATTTCCGCCTCCGGCCCCCGGCTGGACGGCGATGGATCGGTGCGGAAAGGGAAGAGCTCTCCCTCTCTCGCTCCGCCGCCTCCTGCGAGATGGTGGACTCGCAGAAGTCGAGCATCGTAGCTACGACGCGCGGCAGCGAGAGGTCCTCTCCTATGACCGCGACGAGGGCGGCGCGTTGCTCGTCGAATCCATAGCAACGCGCCAGTGTGTGTTCTGCTGTGTCTTCCTCGTCGCGGTCCGTGCAGTGGTGGCACTGCGCCGTCGGTTCCCTTCCGGCTATTTAAAGCAGTAAAAATAGTATTCTTATTCACAAATAGATGTCGGGAAGAGTCATAAAGTTGATTATCGATAAAGTTGATTATTGAAAACACGAATAAAACAACGTTTTCTGAAAATAAATCGTAGCTAGATCGATTTATCGCCCCCGAAATCCCCTGTATACTAAATTTTATGAAAATCGTTGGAGCCGTTTCCGAGATTCAGATTATATATACAAGAATTGCCCGTTTAAAGGTATAAGATGAACCCGAAAACTTGTCTCTGTGGCATCACTCAGAGTGAGCTCAATGTAGCCCAGCGAATTGTGGAAGGAGCTACGCTCTGAACTTCTCTGAAGCTTAAATTCAGGAATGAGATTATAGTCGGCAACCGCAGAACTGAGAATCGCTGACGAATTCTTGACAGTAATATCGAATCAAATAATATTTTTGTAAATTTTCAATATTCAAATAAGCGGCCCTTATATTTCTGAAGGTACCACCTCGTACTAGAAGTTCCACGAGTAGACAGCAAGCACACAAAATCAGATCCTGTTTCGAGTATCTCATGATAAGAAAAACTTAAACGTAATTAAGGTGGATTAATAGAATTATTCTATGATATTTATCAATCGGTTATCTAACAAATCTGACTTTTCATATGTACACGATGTCACCAATACTATAGTCGTGGCTGAAATGGCTCTCTGGACTGTTGTGATATTTCTGGTGGCGTTTGCCGGGACTCAGGTAAAAACGATTTTATTCTGGCTTCATTACTTAATATCGTTACCTACGTCTTAAAGAAACAAACAAGCATTAATTTTTATTTTTTATTTTTTTATTACTTAGATGGATGGACGAGCTCACAGCCCACCTGATGTTAAGTGGTTACTGGAGCCCATAGACATTTAGAACGTAAATGCGCCACCCACCTCGAGATATAAGTTCTAAGGTCTCTCAGTATAGTTACAACGGCTACCCCACCCTTCGAACCGAAACGCATTACTGCTTCACGGCGGAAATAGGCGGGGTGGTGGTACCTACCCGTGCGGACTCCCAAGAGGTCCTACCACCAGTGATTACGCAAATTATAATTTTGCGGGTTTGGTTTTTATTACACGATGTTATTCCTTCACCGTGGAAGTCAATCGTGAACATTTGTTGAGTACGTATTTCATTAGAAAAATTGGTACCCGCCTGCGGGATTTGCACACCGGTGCATCGCTTCATACGGATGCACCGGACGTCTTATCCTTTAGGCCACGACGACTTCATCATCATGTTTAGGCCGTGTGTGTTGGAATCGTTTTAGAAAATGACAAGAGTGTCGATTTTAGTAATTAACAACCAGATAGCACTCAATATTCATGATCGAATGTAATAGTTAAATCAGGGACGCTTTTATGAAAAATAACGTTTGTATGTTTCTTTGAACGTGATCTATGCAGTCGCATGTACTTTGTCAGAATTGAAACTTTGTACAGTGGCCATTGACATTTCACTGAGGGATTTTTGCAATTCTCGCATTTTTTTTCATTAAGTTAATCATAATTTGGGTAGCATGAATAGGTATGTATTGTCATTGTACCTGTCCCTCAGTTATGCGTTCCATATTAAATATTTCAAATTACAAAATTTGAATTTCTAACTCACGTTTTTCTCGGCGCGTTTCCATTCTATGACATCAGTGGGCCCGACATTTTAGCATCACGCGCGGGCCTTAATTCATCCAGTGCATAGAAGCAGATGCAGATACTGTATAGGCAGTTGTAAGTAATTAATATCTCTGCGACTGGAAATACGGAAAAATGTATTACGTGTCATTCAGAGGTACTTGCAACATAAGAGCATTAACTGTTATATCAGATTTTTGTTTCTTTGGCGATTTGGTCTTTGAGTTAGCAACTGTTTGGTAAAGGTCGAATATACATAGATGACTTACTTAACTCTTTGACTGCTATGTAGGTCACCGGTGGACGGTGCTCTACGTCGCGCAACGAAGTAATTAGGTCGGTTTCTGATGTTAAGGCGCCGTAATATCTAGGTGACTCTGGGAAAGACGAGTCCAAAGATGCTGAGAATGAATCTAAGTTCTAACAGTCCTAAAAGACTGAAACCTACATCTATACTAATATTATAAAGCTGAAGAGTTTGTTTGAACGCGCTATTCTCAGGAACTAATGGTCCGTTTTAAAAAATTCTTTCAGTGTCAGATAGTTCATTTATTGAGGAAGGCTATAGGCTATATAGTATATAAATAACATCACGCTAAAGAAAGAAAGAAAGAAAGAAAATCTTTATTCGCCAGAAATATAGTTTACAAGATATAGGACATAGCTTCATATATTTCGCCTGTTTAGGCATGCGAAAATTTAATTTATTTTTATATTAATTATAACACAAACTTTACTAAATCTATCTATTTTTACATTCTATCACTTCTCAAGACCAATGCAAGCGGAGCACCAATAAGGAATGTTTTAAAATCGGGGTATTTTTCCCTTTTGAGAGCTTCCACTGCGGAAACGGTTAAAGTTACGCTAAAATAATGTATGAAAAAATTGTTGCCCTTTAAAAGTTTAAAAAAGTCTATGTTTTGCTATGTAAAAAAAAAGTTATGTCAAAGTAACTATTCCACGCGGACGGAGTCGCGGGCAAAAGCTAATTAAAAATAAAATAAAGCAAATTTGGTCAATCTAGGGGCCTTAGTAACAGAGTACGACGTAATTACTTCAGTGCGCCGCGTAGGGCACCGGTGACCTACATTGCAGTCAAAAGGTTAATATATTGTTTCGGCCGGGTTCCGCCAGACGTAAACATAATGAAGACTGTTTTTATCAATGACCCACCGTGACCACGAAAACTGTAAAGTATTTAAAACGCCGGAATTTTTTATTTCTTTTTATTGCTTAGATGGGTGGACGAGCTCACAGCCCACCTGGTGTTAAGTGGTTACTGGAGCCCATAGACATCCAGAACGTAAATGCGCCACCCACCTTGAGATATAAGTTCTAAGGTCTCAGTATAGTTACAATGGCTGCCCCACCCTTCAAACCGAAACGCATTACTGCTTTACGGCAGAAATAGGTAGGGTGGTGGTACCTACCCGTGCGGACTCACAAGAGGTCCTACCACCAGTCAGATATATTTGACAATAAAATTAAACCGCAAAATTAGTTCGTAGATCCAACTAATCGTCGCTGCCAAACCAAAATCTGCTATGTGCAAAAACTCTATTTTGAATTAACGAGTTAAAACAGTGTCGTATAAAATTTTACATGAAGGTGAATTTTTAAGAACTGTATCAAATGAAAGCTATAGATAAATATTAAAGCTGTAGACACATACCAGTTTTTTTATACGGTAGACAGGGCTGTGAACTATGCGAAAAGGTCGAAAAGTAAAAATCTCAAAAAGTGCACATAGCGGATTTTGGTTTGACAACGACGTAATGTTGAGTGCTTACCATTTCTGATGGAATGCCATAGGAAAAGTAGCCGCCCTTCACTGATTTTTCGATCTCGGCAAATTTCTGAACAATACCAATCAGTTATTTAGCATTTGTTTTAAAAATCGCGATGTTGGCATTTTGTAAACGTAAAGATGGTGTGTGTCTCTTTCAGGCGTTCGCTGACGACCAGTTCACTTACCCGGAAATCGCTCGCGGTAAGTTACGATCACAAACATATCATATTCCTAAGAGAAGGACGAAATATTGTGTTCCGTTTATTGACGCAGTATCTATATAGCCGCTTCTGTATTTATGACACATTTAGCCACGGTAGGCAGCGGCTTGGCTCTGCCCCTGGCATTACTGGAGTCCATGGACGACGGTAACCACTCGCCAGCAGGTGGGCCGTATGCTCGTTAAACAGAAACGCATTACTGCTTCACGGCAGAAATAGGTGCGGTGGTGGTACCTACCGATGTTGGCTCACGAAACGACCTACCACCAGTAAAACGTTTGAAAATTAAATGTACCTCAATTGCAAAGGTATTTTGTACAGGCACCGACAATGTTAATGTAGAAAGTGATGGGATTTTAATTTGTACGTCACCCATCAGCAATAAGATCAGGTCTTTGGCCGGCGCTAGCTAATACAGATCAGTTTTTTTTAGTCCGATATGTGTGCGGAATTGTTTTATTTCTCTTGTATTTTTGCTGTTAACCGTAAAACATTATAATCACGTACGAATCGACAAGCTCACTTCCTTGACAATTACTAAGCCATCTAAAGATAACGTTTTTCCACTTAGTTACGTAAATCATTATAAATACACCAAAATAATAAAACAAAATCGACTAGAAACTATCTAAGACTTATCTAAATCGATGCCTAGTAATGATGAATGATTAATAATAATGAATAACATTTGAATTTTATCAATCGTTAATTTGGGCTTAATTTTGTTAATCTGTTTTTAAAAACTGTCACAGTTGGGTTGTGAATCCGCAAGGGAATTACCGACTCTGGCCTTCGGTTTTGATCTGCTTCAGCCTCTAGGACTACGGAAAGACTTTGATTCTCTTTGAATCACAGTAGTGTGGGGTCCATTCTATTAGACTTTCGAATTAGCTTCCCTCCACGATGTTTCCCATATGCTACAACATGTCCTGCGAATGTGACTTAAATGGTGTCCTTCTCGGATGGCGGCGCAGTGTGCTTGCCATTACCAGGATGGCATTTATGACGGTAGTGGCGCTCTATTAAACAAGTACGGTTATCTGCGAAAAGTATTTCAAACATGAGAATTATATGCTGGTAGGGCGCATTTTAAGCCACACAGGTACCGCCATCCTGCTACGAAATTAGACCATGATATCAACATTCAAACCCGAACGAATGACTACTTGGCGATAGAAAGAACAGAGGCCAGATGTGATCTGTTACCTAAATACGGAAAAGTATGTTTTTTTGCGGTAGGTACATGTTTCTTTAGTAAAAGTTTGTACCTGATTGTGGAATTTGAACAGAGCTATAGTCGTATCACGTGCATGGATTTTGGAAACAATGATTACAGTTTTAAAAAAAAAACTTTCAGAGCGTTCCCTGCCGGGTTCTAGAATTGTATCAGGATGGGAGGCGAGTGAAGGCCAGTTCCCTTACCAGCTCTCGATTCGTTCGGTCAGTACTGTGGGAGGAGTCAACGCCTGCGGAGCCACCATCATTCATAGCAACTGGGGACTCACAGCTGCTCACTGCACCGGTTTGTGAGTATCTTCTCCAAGCAATATTACATACTAAACAATATAATGGCAAATTTAACGCGTACAGAATCGCAAGGCTAATGTCTCATCCTTAACGCACGCCGACTTGTAAGGCAGCTTGCGATTGATTTGGGATTGTAATTGTTTTCCCCAGACGTGTCACAATCATCATCAGAGCTGGAGCAGTGAACCTGACCCGCCCCGGCTTACTCTTCGAGACTACTAAGTACATAAATTATCCTGCGTACATCGAAACTTTGAACGTAGTGCAGCCTAATGATATTGGCCTAATAGACTTTGGCAGGAAAATAGAGTTTAATGGTTCGTATTTAATTTAGTTATTTGGTCATAGAACAATGGTTGGTTTAAGACTATAAGCATGATGTTAATACTGGCCTTCCCTATCAATTCTCTCTTCTGACTGGGGATGGCTGTTAACTTGTTTGGACTTGTCACCGCTGTTTAGATTCTTAATTTCAAATCAAATCAAATCAAATCAAAAAAGTTTTATTCAACATAAATGAAAGTACATACTTGTTGAACGTCAAAAGAACTATCGCCAATTCACAAGAATTAGCCTCCGTCCTGAGAAGAATTGGCAAGAAACTCAGCGGGCATGTCTTTTTTTTATTTATTTTTATATATATTAGTTTTTTTTTTTTTATATTAGATTTATTGAGAATGCTGAAGCACGCTTTACTGTTTTATTGGTATAGCGCCAACGCCTTATGTTTTAAGCTAGTCTTATGTACTTTGAAGAGGGCTGTGTTTTCATAAATGATTTCTTTTTCCAGACTACATTCAGCCAATCAGACTGCAGAGATCCGGGGCTAAGAACCGTAATTATGACAATGTCAGATTTGTCGCCAGTGGATGGGGTCGCACGTGGACGGGAGGTAAGCGTTATGCCTTCTAATTATGCAAATTTGCTACTGGCTGTATAATGGGCATATTGCGAACCGTTTTGCTTGGTGGGTTGGTGCCAACGTCCTGCCTATTTCTATGACGAAGCCTTCGCGGGTTCTGTTTTAAAAGATGCAATCGCCGATTTATAATTAGGGGCTTTAGCCTTCTGCTTCAAGGTGGTGGCGTTCTCTATGGGCCTATGGTAACAAAAAGTGGGTCGTGAGAAGCTAATTCAAGTATGCGAAACCATAGACGTTAAATTCATAAAATTCAATGATTGGCGTTACCTGGTAACCCTGGAATCCCTTACTTGCGAACAGTAAATTTGCGTAAAAGCTATTGGACCTCAAGATATCTTTGTTGATGGGTTATATCGAGGCAAGTCACATACGGTCACCTGGCCCTAAACTATTATAGGATTTTCTGTAATATGGAATCTAGAGACTGACATACCTATAATAAACAACCGGACAAAGAGCAAGCAAGCAGCCCAGTAGTTAGGTACGCTTACTGCCGGGCCACCAACTCATTCTATATCTACCTAAATAGTTTAATAGACATTCAGCATAACCATTTCTGGGGGTATTCTCAGTATTTACAACAGTATACCGTTTGCACAGGCGCATCTCCGGAGAACTTGAACTGGGTGTTCTTGAACGGAATATCGAATCTGCGTTGTATGGTGGCCTATAACTTCAGTCCCACCATTCAGCCCTCCACCATTTGCACGCTTGGCTACAACGACACTACACAGTCCACATGCCAGGTACGATCTCACGTATTCTTCTGCAGTAAAGTAGACAGACTGACGTCATTAGTCGTGGCGTAATTTCAATATGCGAGTCGGGATGAGAAACTGTACGTCGTGAGACTGAGAGGATAGAGCTGGCTGATAAAAACTGCATCACAGTGACGAATTAATGTATTTTAGAAGGCTCGAAGGACCATATTTTACATTGCAGTAATTGAGCGTGTCCTGTATTTATTGTTTTGAGATATTTATTGAACCCTTATCATGTCGTGTGTAGATGTCTGCAACTCTTCCAACACCATCGCCACCACTGTACAGCTGAAGTATACGTCCAAATGCCAACAGTAGTGAAGATGGCGATGGTTCCTTTACGATGAATAGATTACCCACCTTGAAGGGCTCTGCAGACGTTTTACATTATTTAGATTTTTATTGTAGCCATGAGATGTATTTTTGAGAGAACCTCTGTAGACTGGTGGTACTATATGATACTTGAGGATGTGGCAAAAACATCAGTGATCGTCCAATAAGGAAATAAGCTGGGGTTAATGGAGTGAGATCGGATGAGTCAACCGATGAAGGAATTAAAGGTCTTGAATTTAGAATTGCTTCGATTTGTGCCGAACAAGTTGCCATTTCTTCAAAAATTAAATTTGCTAGACCTAATGCGCGCTTTGAATGATATTTTTTTGTTTTACTGCTGACTCCCAAAGACTTCCGAAGTGTGGAGTGTAGGGATAAATGAAAATGTTTATACTTGAACCGAAATTATTAAGTTCTAAATCTTGTAACAGAAATCGGGCCAACTTATTAAAAGCTCCTCCTACTAAGGTTGTGCCGTTGTCTGAGAAAATGTTGCGTGGTTTTCCTCTCCAAGCAATAAAACGGCTATGAGCAGTCAGAAAGGCTTATTTTTGCATGTCTGAGATAAGTTCTACGTGAACAGCTCTCGTAGCGAGTTTTTATTTTTTTATTGCCCTTGTAGGCAGACGAGCATATGGCCCACCTGATGGTGAGTGGTTACCGTCGTCCATGGACTTCAGCAATGCCAGGTGCAGAGCCAAGTCGCTGCCTACGAATACACACATACACGTTTAAACGATTTTATAAGTTTCATTCCCTGCCTTTGCAGTCAGCTATCATGATTGGCCTCGCATAGTCAATTCCAGTGTATAGAAATGGAAATTCAAGATGCTAACGTTGTTCTCGAAGATTACCCATCACAGGTTGAAGGGTATTTGCCTTGATTCCACAGTATTTAATGCATTGAAGACATGTAACTATACTTGAGAGCTTAGAACTTGTATCTCAAGGTGGGTGGCGCATTTACGTTGTGGATGTCTATGGGCTCCAGAAACCACTTATACGCAATAAAAAAAAGTTTTTTTTCACTCAATTTCTACCGTCAATAGTGATGACGAATGCTTGCTAACAAAAGTTGAGATCTGGATGTTTTAATGTTTTATGAAACATGTTGAAAATAAGTTGAGTTACTTTATGTGAACTTGATGTGATTTTTAGTGATTGTAGGACCTCTTGTGAGTCCACGCGGGTAGGTACCACCAACCTGCCTGTTTCTGTAGTGTTCGGTTTGAAAGGTGGGGCAGTTGTTGTAACTATACTGAGACCTTAGAACTTATATCTCAGGGTGGGTGGCGCATTTACATTGTAGATGTCTATAGGCTCCAGTAACCACTTAACACGAAGTGAGCTGTGAGCTTGTCCACTCATTTAAGCAATTAAAATAAAAAAAGTATCCCCGATGATAGCTGTGAAATAAAACAAAACCAAAGATCTGCAAGCACAACCCACACCGATCTGGACTGTGGACGAATCATAGCACACTATGTTGTTAAAAAAATAGCGTCTTGTCTAAATACGATGAGATAACGTAAGTTTACTAAAGATTAGAAGAGAAAGAACGCTTACTGATCAAAACGATAATTGTATCCTTTTCGTTTTTTTATTAAATAGGGTGACAGCGGTGGTCCTCTGACAGTGATCGATGAAGACGGCCAAATCACACAAATAGGAGTCACTTCGTTCGTGTCCGGCCAAGGCTGCCACGTGGATATACCTTCAGGTAAGACATTTATCTCTATTTTTTACCTATGCTGATAGCCTTGAGAGGCTATTTAATTTTCAGCTTCTTGACGTGTAGGGAGCTCACGGGACTCAAACCGGGTGTATTGCTAACACTGGCCCTAGCAAGAGCAGTGCTTCGCAGAATCTACTACCGGATCGGAAACGCGACCCATTGAGAAGGTCCGGCGAGAAACTCAGTGGGCTTTATTTTAACTACCGTTAACCAGTAGTCGAGATTTTTCCCAGAATCACTTCACATACACAGATTTAAAACAAACGTAATATACAGTGTGTTATTGGGATTATCTACACGTAACATCCGACTGTGTTTTCAACATAAGTACTTTTGAAAGCGACTTCAATTATGGAGGTAGCTACAAGTGGAACTTTTTTTATATGGGAGACGATACTGATGATTATATTATTTTTATTTGAAAGCCGGGGCTTCTCTGGCTGTGATGCCATTAATATTATGCCCGTGAGCCCACGCGGCTTGGTACCAACGCCCTGCCTATTTCAATCATGAAGCAGTAGCGCGTTCCGCTTTGAACAGTGGGGAAACCGCCTACTACAAAACTGACGCTTAAAACTCACGTCTGAAGGTGGGTGATCGAATTTACGTTGTTGTTGTCTATGGGCTCCCGTAACTATTTAACATCAGGCAACAAATAAACTATATGTTTTACCGAACAATTTTTTTTTATTGCTCATATGGGTGGACGAGCTCACAGCCCACCTGGTGTTAAGTGGCTACTGGAGCCCATAGACATCTACGACGTAAATGCGCTACCCACCTTGAGATATAATTTCTAAGGTCTCAGTATAGTTACAACGGCTGCCCCACCCTTCAAACCGAAACGCATTACTGCTTCACGGCAGAAATAGGCAGGGCGGTGGAATCTACCCGTGCGGACTCACAAGAGGCCCTACCACCAGTAATTACGCAAATTATAATTTTGCGGGTTTGATTTTTATTACACGATGTTATTCCTTCACCGTGGAAGTCAATCGTGAACATTTGTTAAGTACGTATTTCATTAGAAAAATTGGTACCCGCCTGCGGGATTCGAACACCGGTGCATCGCTCAACACGATTGTTGGTTTACCAGGTTTCATCCGCCCCGGGCACTATCACGACTGGTTCAAGAATGTCACCGGCTTGGATTTCGATTGGACAGTGGAGACAACAAGGGAACACGACGCGACAGATGATACCGAATCTTCGGCACCGCTTTTTGAATATCAATAATATTCATAAGACATTATTCTTTTTGATGAATGTTCGTGAATATTCGTAGAATTTTAGTTGAATATAAATTATAATTGAAGTTTCGTGTATTTTAATGTTTAATATCTGCTCATACCAACAGCCTTTGACGCTTTGTGCTTGGCTTTGGGTTGTGGTCTGTTTGTGTGTTCGTATGGTGATTAAACTTTTTTTGGGGGGGGTGGAAGCTTTTTAGGGGGAACCCGAGGAGCGAATCTGGTGACTTGTTTTATTTTATCAATTTAGTGTTTATTTGGGTTTAAGCATGTAACAATGTCGACTCATTAACTGTTTCGCGTCTGTCAAAATGCACACCACCACGCCATCATAAGTGCATCAAACAATTATCCATTCCTTTAATCCTAGACGTACATCGGTGATATACCTTGCTGGGTAAGCTATTGCTGGTGGCAGGACGTTATGAGTCCGCACGGGTAAGTACCACCATCCTGCCTATTTCTGCCTTAAAACAGCAATGCGTTTCGGTTTGAAGGGCGGGGCAGCCGTTGTACTGTTAAAATGTGTAAAAGTGAGTAGAGCTCATGTCTCAAGGTGGGTGGCGGCATTTACGTTGTAGATGTCTATGGGCTCCGGTAACCACTTATTATAACACCAGGTGGTCCGTGAGCTGGTACACCTATCAAAGCAATAAAAAAAAAGCCGTATCCATCCCCAATTGGGGATCGATTGGCTTATCCGCACCCAGGGTACGAGTCATGAGAGTAACCGCCTATATCGAAATTACGTAACCGGGAGCCAAAATTTCACACACAGGGGGTAAATGAAACGAAGTTGCTGGACCTGACGTGTGGCTTCTAGAATCTTTCCCCAAACAAACTAGTCAAGTCTCAGTAAATTCCCATTTATTTTATTCTCTTTTTATTCCAACTCGTCTTTTTTAGTCTATTATTTCAGCACTCGATATTGTTAATTTAATACGACATTCGACTTATCAGACGATAAACAGACCTTCCACATGTCCACGGTTCGAACGAAATATGCTTCTAACTCTTTTGGTTGATCTTGTAGGTTTTATGATACTAAGTTCTCTAATGCTGACATCTTTTGTTTGCCACTTGTAGCTTATAGAAATGCTATTTTGGAATATTTATAAGGAGATTTAGACTGATGAGTTTTTTTATTTTTATTATTATGATTGAAGATTACTGGTGGCCCAGAGGCCGTTTCCAGTTTCACCAGGACAGGTGGGCAAGCAAAGGCTCAGCCAGGAGGGGTGGGATTTGCTAATAGCTGCCCGAGTGCCTCCGAAGGAGACCTAACAACTCAAAAGCAGCTGCTTCGCGAATGAATATACTACCGGATCGGAATCGCGACCCGCTGAGAAGATCCGGCGAGAAACTCAGCGAGCTGATGCATGGGTTATGCTGCACTTCTACGGTTACCGGGGTTCCTCAGCCTGCTCCTAGTATTTGAGCTGAAGGCGTCTAATGCAAGGGTTATTGGATCTGATGGATCCGTAAGGGCGTGTCTAGGGCATCGACGGAGACTTGATCCTGCGCGATCAGGATTCGTGGAGTAGTCACCGGCGGCGGCAACGATATGGCAATTCTCATGACGCATAGCCTTATCGAAGTAACGTTCCGACACTGACTTCATGTGCTTGCTGAGAGTCCGATTTTTTCATTTAACATATTTATTTAATCAAAATACCTACCATTATTATCTATACATTGCTGCCATCTAATAGGAAGGTCATTGATGCCTTTGCGATAGAACTCTAGTTATCTAGATTCTACTGCCTCCCGGGAAGAAAACTTTTTATCACGTAGAAAATTTTCCAAATCAAGAAAAAAATGGTAGTCCGTTGAAGCAAGATCTTTTTTGTGTGAATTTAAATTTCTAAATTTCTCTTCTTTTTTTTCTTTTTTCACTCTCTACTTATATGTGATTTTGATGGTGGAAACATGTCTGGTCATTGTTTTAGCTATTCTTTAAAATATTATATGTTTGTTTTGTGCTGTTGGTTTCCCAAATAAATAATTAAATCGATTTTAATATAATCTCAACATTCTCGGTAGTGTTGTGTTGACACTAATCAATTAAAGGAAGTATTAGAACGGATTAATACTATCGGAAAGATAAGTAAAGAAATCGTTTGATTATTTTAATTATAAGACGTCACGTTGACAAAAATAACTAATTATATAAAATTGCGGGTCGGGGAAAGCTTAGCTGCCTGTGGAAGTGAACGACAAGATGAGCACTCAGAATGATGATCAAAGATAACAGATGATCAAAGATGTCTCACCTGAATCGCCCAACATGTGACATTAATTAAAATTGTTTTTACAGCTTAATTTCAGGTTTTTTTTTAAATTGCCTATAAGCCATTTTCGTGCGAGAGAAAATGACACTGAAGGATGGAGACGAATTATTATTATATTAATATAAATATTGAAGAATACGGCTCAAGGATGAGGATACCATATACCATTATACCATGAAATCTTAAGTCAAACGAACTTTCAGACCTCAACAGACTGCTAGTTCGTTCTGCGTGAAATCCAACGTAAAACACTGGAATGATTTTTATATAGAAAATAGACGGGAATCAGCACAATATTCAAATGTCGATGAATAAAAAACACTTTAGTCGACTTTATGACCCCGAAAACTTAAGACGTCGTGGCCTAAAGGATAAGACGTCCGGTGCATTATTATCTAGCGATACAACGGTGTTCGAATCCCGCAGGCGGGTACCATTTTTTCTAATGAAATACGTACCTAACAAATGTTCACGATTGCCTTCCACGATGAAGGAATAACATCGTGTAATAAAAATAAAACCCGCAAAATTATAATTTGCGTAATTACTAGTGGTAGGACCTCTTGTAGATGTCTATGGTCTCCAGTAACCATTTAACACGAGGTGGGCTGTGAGCTCGTCCACCCATTAAAGCATAAAAAAAACAAAAAAAAACACTTGAAATAATCGGTTCACACTAATGACAGGGACGTGGTTTTCTTTGCGCGCGGACTCACAAGAGGTCCTACCGTCAGTAAAGAGTATTTGTTAAGAGTTCGACACCGATAACTTTAATCTATAAATCGGATAAAGTATGTTTTCGCAAACTTATAGCATTATGTACTATATACTATGTACCATAGTGCTGGTGGGTCAAGAAAGATCTGCCACGCACTAATGGAAATATCGTTGGGGGCGGAATGCGACCCGCCACCGCACCAGATGAAGTTTTATGATAAACCGCAGCCAAGATGTTAAAAAGCCTTATAACGGATGTATTTGGAGATCTTGTGCGGTGTATGTTATGTGGTGATTTTTCGTTTGTACAATATATTTCAATTAAATATAATACCGGTGTCTTCGTCTACATAAAATTCAATTTTGGGTGTGGAACATGAAAGCTTAACGTCGATACATAATCATGACGAAAATTATTATCTTGGATTAAGCTTAATGCGTATTTTTATCACAATTAATCTTCTGAAATCATTCAAACCGATTTTCATATAGAAATGATTTTGATATTGAATTTTGGAATTAGTTTTTTCTGAAATGGCACAGTGGGCGGTTTTGCTTCTGGTAGCGATTGCTGGAGTGGCTGTGGTGAGTATGATTGAAATCGCCTCCTCTATATTTTGACGGTACTCTACAATAAATATTTGTCATCAATTACATCGGGCCGTAATACGACCGTGGTGGTGATTTCGTTTGCTCCTTATGTAAGCTGGACAGAGGATCTCAAAGTTCACGCTCCAGACTGAAGGGTGGAATGCATAATTAAATACTATTCAGACTTTAACAGTATCTCAAGGGGCATTGGCGTAGTAAGGGCTTCTCCTGGTTTCAATAACCAGGAACGCCCAGTGGGCTGTGAGCGGGTCTGCCCGTCTAGGATAATGATAAATTGATTAACAAAACTCCTAAAAATCGCAAAATATGCACAGAGGCGCCTTTTCCTATGGTGCAGGGTGTGGGTGCAGGGTGTGGGCGCAGTAGCGTCAGGGGGCGTCGACCTCAGCTCTTTCACTGTACCTGTTACATTTGTACCTATTCCTTGACGCCTTTAGTTCTAACACTAATAGCAAGCTTAGGGACATAGGTAACCGTACTCGTCGAACTCGACAAAGAGGTCGAAGTGCAACCTAACCCATGCATCAGCTCGCTGAGTTTCTCGCCGGATCTTCTCAGCGGGTCGCGATTCCGATCTGGTAGTAGATTCATTCGCGAAGCAGCTGTTCTTTAGTTAGGTCTCCTTCGGAGGCGCTCGGGCAGCTGTGAGCAAATCCCACCCTTCTTTGGCAGAACCTTTGCTTGCCCACCTATCCTGGTGAAACTGGAAAGGCCCCCGGGCCAACAGTAACCCTTCAATCATAAAAAAACCCATTCCATTGTGATCATGCGCTTGCTAGAGGGCGCTAGGGTAACGATTTCACACGTGCGCTACATGGCCTAGAGACGCATTTGGATGTGTATTCACACGCCATTTCGGATCCATTATGGGTGCTTTTAGGCATTTTAAGCACCGGCCACCGTCGAATCCGTTGAATGCGACGAAGAGTTCGGCGAGTAAATAAACTCACAGATACAGCCCACTTAGAGTTAGAGTAGAGCCTACAGAATCACTGGCTAGATTTTCTCAGTAGATCGGGATCCCGATCCGGTGGTAGAGTCAGCCAAGCACTGCCCTTGCTAGAGCTAGTGTTAGCAAATGCGCCCGGGCTGTGCCCCCTGAGCTTATGAAATAAATAAGAACCGTTTTAATTCAGACACTCGGATTGCTTGTTTTTTTTTTTTTATGAACGGAAGTATAATTTTCGGTGTAACTTAGTTTAGAATGCGTGTTGTTTGTTTAAAAAGAAGCGTATTTATTTATAAAGATCACTTTTCTCGTTCAAAGGTGTCTGCGGATCCTGCTCTGACCTTCGTCGAAAATGTCAGGGGTGAGTAATTAATTGCTCAGGATGTTGAGAAAAGCTATCCAGAGTTGCGAAGTTCAAGAATCAGAAAAGAATTCAGGAATTACTTGACACGAATTATTTCATTTCATTAACGTTCGCCACCTTTGATAATTAATAATGAACAAATGCTCTATTTATCTTTATGTTCCTTGGTGTAAAAATCATAATTTATAATAATAATAATAATAATAATAATAAATAATAAAATGAGGAAATCCGAAGATCCGGCTCAGTGGTGTGTGTGGATTGGGAGAGGCCTATGAGTTATCCCCATTTTATATTGCATAAATGGTTGCACAAGCTCACGCTTTCCGGTGTAATTAATCCAAAATCGATAGGTGTCACAACGTGAATTAGCCGCATTCATCTTGAAACATGAGGTCTCAATTCTAAAAAAAATTCCTCTGTCCTAACCCTTCAAGCCGGGTCGCATGGTTGCGTCGTGACAAAATTACGATCATAAAGATCTGTTTGTGGTTCAAGACATTCAAACTCCCTGGCGCATCATCGCTCTTTTACCAGACCGCCTCCTAAGTCGATTAGTTAGTAACAATTATACCACAGCATCAGTTACTGATCAAAATCGATATTGTTGGTTTGTGTTGGCTGGATTAAAAGTTACTTTTTAGGTTCTGAGTGTGCTCTTCTTATCTTGTATGTGTCTCTAGTACCAATGGTATCAGAGTCAATTCCAGTGTCCGTTAAAAATCGATTAATATTATTTATATCATATTTGTTAATACGTGAATTCCCCAAAACTTGGAACACGTAGTCAGGAATGACAGTCGGAAGAAACTACGATTGATTGGCAATCTGATAGAAAATCGATTAGGGGGTTGAAACCAATGTGTGATAAAGTCAGCGCAAGTGTTGGCGGCTTGGTCGACAATAGTTCACGGGTATGTGGTCCATGAGGCAAACGGCGCTTGGTATGAGGCACATGAAAGAAACTAAGAGATTTGTAAAGAAATCGCGTAGAAATGCAGAGGAAAATTATGTTATTGGGTTCTGTCTGTAAATTACTCAACGCATTACAGCCGGCGCTAGGATCGTATCAGGATGGGAAGCAGAAGAAGGACAGTTCCCTTACCAGCTGTCACTGCGCATGGTGAACCCTGAGGGAGCAGTTAACGCTTGTGGAGCCACCATCATCCACAGTGATTGGGGACTCACGGCCGCTCATTGCACTGCTACGTAAGTACCTCGTATTCTACCTGACCTACCTAATTTTAGGTTCTTTATCGGAGCCCATAAACATCAACACCTAACTTTGAGACATGAGGTCGATATTTCAATTATAAAAAATACCGCCTGTTCGAATCTTCAAACCGGGGCATATGACTGCTTTGCGGCAAAGCTAAGTAGCATGGCGGTACAATTATAGATTATAAGCCCCTGCCCTGGTAAAACTGGAAAGAAAGGGCCACTAGTAATCTCTCAAATATAAAAAACAAGATCATAAACCTTGAGTCGTGAGTTTGAGGTCTCATTTGCATCTTATAATCGGATAACAGCTCTAGCACCTTTAAATTATAACCCTAAATTGATTCGCGACAGGAATAGGTAGCATAGTCGTACCTATCCGTTTGAGCCAACGTAATGCTGGTGGTAGACCAAAGCTCTACGAACACAACGACTTCTTATACCTTAGCTTACGCTTCTGTTACTGTATTATTTTGTGTTGATACTGGAAAATAACCTAAGATATTATGCGCGATACTAATTTCGCAAATAAAGCCCTGCATTTGAGATATGTGCTAATGAAAAAAAACTATTTACCACCACAGTCGCGTAACCATAGTCATCAGAGCCGGTACAGTCAACATGACACGGCCCGCCGTTGTTTTCGAGACGACAGATTATTTAAACCACCCACTTTACGACGAATCGATACAGCAGATTGTACAACCTCACGACATCGGCCTCATCAAGTTTGGACGCTCCCTCGTTTTTAATGGTGATGTATTTTTTTAAGTGATTTTATGACCTGGTAACTAAGACCTTTAAGTAATGTCTTATTTTAATTTATATTCTTATTTTTATGAAAAATGATAATATGGAGTGAAATGAAATGAAAATGATTAATTTGAGACATTAATCAACTGGGATGAAATTAAATGAAATGAGATGATATGGGATGAAATATAATTTTAGTAAAATGGTGGTAATTTACTAAGATTTTTTCAGTGGACTTTTCGGAGGATCCCGAGAAGTTGCATCTAGCGGCTTTGTTTCATTTTCCCACATTTGTGCACTTTCACAGATATTAAACAGTTAATAAACCACCGTTATTACACATTTAAACCCGAAGAAACACTAAATAGACAAAATAAAACAAATCACACAATTTCACTCCTCGCGTTCCCGCCAAAAAGTCCAATGGTGATGTATAATATTTATTTTTAATGTACCCTCCATTCGAGTACCCTCCACGCGAGCGACTGCCAGTCTGGCGTCCTGTGGGGGTAGGGCGCTCATACACCATGAGCGCAGGGGAGTCGTTTAGTGGGTGGGCCCTAAAATCTTTGGGCCCGCGATCTGATCTCAACAACTGCAGATCGTTGAGTCTCACATACCCCGCGCGCCCCTTATGCGCGGAGACCTAGTAGGAGGTTCGGCCCCCGGCCCGAAAAAAAAAAGGTGGTGGGGAGAGATGAGCCCTACGCTGTGCGTCACTATGTCCATCAGCCTCGTTTGAGTTCTGTCTCATCCATGGTTTGAGCACAGGTAGCTCGAATCCTAAATACTGGCCTCCCATCTGACGTTTCTGATATTTTCTTTTCAGCCATTCCGCGAATACCTGTCCACGAAAGAACATAAAAAATAAATATTTTATCTGAATTACAGACTACGTCCAACCGATAAGGCTACAAAGCTCTTACCATAAGGATTACAACTACGACGGTTACCGTCTGACTGCCACCGGTTGGGGAAGAACCTGGACCAATGGTAAGATCAATGGTTTTTTGGAACTAGGTCTGCGGACGAGCTTACAGCGTTCCTAATGTTCAGTGATCACCGGAAGCGACTATAGGTATCACAACGTGAACACCCCTAAACCTTGCAATATAGGGTCCAAGTCTCAATTGCTGCTGCCCCCCCTTTCAAATCAGAACATATGAATGACTGCTCTGCGGCAATAGACAGGATTCGTCAGACACAGCCCAATGAGTTTCTCGACGGATTTTCTCAGTGGGTCACGATTTCGATCCAGCAGTAAATTCTGCGAAGCACTGCTCTTGCTAGGACTAGTGTTAGGAAATTTTCTCAGGTTGATCCCGTGAGCTCACTTACCCGTCCGGGCGTAGCTGGAATGACCTCTTAGCCTTAAACTGTATACTGATTTACTTTTAACCCTTTGACTGTCATGTAGGTCACCGGTGCCCTACGCGACGCACTGAAGTTACTATGTAGATTTCTCTCTTTCTTCTTCTTATCAAAGCGCCGAAATATCTAGCAGACTCTCGGAAAGACGAATCCAAAGATACTGACAATGAATCTATTTCTAAGAGACATAAAAGACTAAAACATACATTAATAAACAAAAGAAGGCAAAGTTAGGCAATCCAAGCGCTTAGTTACAGAAATCGGCACAATTATTTTAGTGCGCCGCGTAGTGCACCGGTGACCTACATGGCAGTCAAAGGGTTAAAGCCAATTAAAAAATATGTGTATAACTCATCATAACTGAAGAATATAAGAAGAATAAACTAATTTGTTTTTTATGCCCCAATTCTTATCCATTATCCTAAGTCATAAACCATGGCCATAAGAATTGGCGTACATTCTAAATCCTGGTTGGGTCATTGTTTTTAGGTACCGCTCCTGAAAATATGAATTGGGTCTTCCTTCGAGGTGTGACCAACGCGTTCTGCTCAGAAATTTTCGTAATCAACAATATCGTTCAGGATTCCACCATCTGCGCTTCAGGATACAACGTGACCAGCCAGTCTACCTGCCAAGTCAGTATTCGTCTTGTTTACCAATGGTGCCTAACAAAAAAGTTACTGTCACGTATGCAGCCATTTTGGGATGCTTGTGGCACAATCTCGCAAAAATGGCTGAAAATCAGTAAACGACGCATGACGCGACTGTCTCCGGATTGGTATTCATCAGACATGTAAATTTTTTTCTAATTAAATACGTACATCACGAACATCTTCCATGAGGTAAGGGCTGGTGGATTAGAAGAAAAACCCCGGTTTCAAGTCAACTTGCAAGCGCAAGGTTTTTGGACTCCTTTGAAGTCGTCGTGGCCTAAAGGATAAGACGTCCGGTGCATTCGTGTTGAGCGATGTTCGAATCTCAGGCGGGTACCAATTTTTCTAATGAAATACGTACTCAACAAATGTTCACGATTGACTTCCACGGTGAAGGAATAACATCGTGTAATAAAAACGAAACCCGCAAAATTATAATTTGCGTAATTACTGGTGGTAGGACCTCTTGTGAGTCCGCGCGGATAGGTACCACCGCCCTGCCTATTTCCGCCGTGAAGCAGTAATGCGTTCAGATTTGAAGGGTGGGCAGCCGTTGTAACTATACTTGAGACCTTAGAACTTATATCTCAAGGTGGGTGGCGTATTTACGCTGTAGATGTCCATGGGCTCCAGTACAAAGTTTTTGCTTCACGTATTAATATATAGATAAAAAATACAGTTATACATTCAAGTTTCACTAAGCCTATTTGCGGCTTTATTCCACTGATGAAAGAGAGACATCTTTGTTTTCTTTACAGGGTGACAGCGGCGGAGGACTGACCGTTGTTGACGTTGACGGACAAGTGTCACAAGTTGGAATTTCGTCCTTCGTTTCCAGTACTGGTTGTCACACTGATTACCCTGCAGGTTAGATTCCACATTCTACCAGTTAAGATACTGATTTACATAGACTAGTGGTGACTGATTTACATAGACTAGTGGTGCCCCCGGTAGTCGAAATTCGACTATAATTAATTGAAATTATAGGTCTGTAGACTATTCTTATACTTCTACTATAGAAGTATACAAAACTACCTACATTTTAGACAAATATTTATAAAGACAAACAATATTTAATAAATAAAAAAGGGCTTTTATGACCAGGTAACTAAGACCTTTAAGTCATCTCTTATTTTAATTTATATTCATATCTTTGTGATACATGATAATATGGAGTGAAATGAAGATGATTAATTTGAAACATTAGTCAACTGGGATGAAATTTAATTAAATGAGATGAGATGATATGGGATGAAATATAATCTCAATAAAATGATGGTCATTTACTGAGATTTTTTCAGTGGACTTTTTGGAGGATCCCGAGAAGTTCTGTCCAGCTGCTTTGTTTCAATTTGCAACATTTGTGCACTTTCACACATAATAAACAGTTAATAAACCACCGTTATAACACATTTAAACTTGAAGAAACACGAAATAGACAAAATGAAACAAATCACACAACTTCACTCCTCGCGTTCCCGCTAAAAAGTCCCAATATTTAATCTATTCTCAATTTGACCACAGCCTATAAAGCAATAAGAAAAGTTTGACAATAAACAAATAATATGCATGCGTGTCAAATACATGGTAGTGTGTGTAATGTTTTTTTATTTATTGATTTAATGTATTTTTTATGCATAATTTTATAAAAATATTAACATTCTGCACTCCTTCTCTATATTCTGTGTGTGGGAAATTTTGTACTCCTCCGTCCGTGCAATTTTCGTTAAAAGGGGTACAACATTTTTGATGGTTTCAAATCCAAACAGGTTTCATCCGGCCTGGTCATTACCACGACTGGTACTTAGAGGTCACCGGAATCGACTTCGACTGGAAACCCGAAACAATCGAACAACAATGAACTGAATCACTAAATAAATAAAGCAATAAAAGCGATGCCCGTTTTGTTTTCCTTATAAATTCACCAATATCTATTACTAGCTTTTGCCTGCGACTCTTCACAGACCACTGAGTTTCTCGCCGGATCTTCTCAGTGGGTCACGTTTCCGATCCGGTGGTAGATTCTGCGAAGCACTGCTCTTGCTAAGGTCAGTGTTAGCAACTCTCCGGTTTGAGCCCCGTGAGCTCACCTACAACGTTAGGGCGAAGCTGAAATAGCCTCTCAAGGCTATCAGCATAGGTAGGGGAAAAAAAAAGCCCGCGACTCCGTCCGCGTAGAATAGTTACTTTGGTATAACGCTAAATTTTACCCCCCACTTCATTTACGTAGAAAGTGAAAATATTTTTGAATTATAGAATGTCAAGGAGCTATTTAAACCCCTATTTTGAAACATTATTTATTGGTGCTCCACTTGTATTGGTCTTGGCGTGATGTTATATTATAGCCTATAGCCTTTCTCGATAAATGGGCTATCTAACACTGAAAGAATTTTTCAAATCGGACTAGTTGTTTCGGATATTAGCGCGTTCAAACAAACAAACTCTTCAGCTTTATAATATTAAAACAGGATTAGATCCTCCTCCTCCTCCTCTCGTGATTTAGATTAAAACAGGAGCTCTCAGGAACTCGTGAGAGATCGTTAGTTCTTTTTTCCTTTTAATCCTCCTCCTCCTCGCGTCGTTTTCCTCATTACTGAGGGTCGTGACTCCCTAACTGTATCCGTTTCTCCCGTACCATATCCCTCCATCTGCTGCGATCCTTAGCTTCATGAAGGGCATTGTGGAAGTTGATGTTCAGAGAAAATCGTATTTGGTCCGACCATCTCGTGGGACTGCGTCCTCTGGGACGTTTGCCATCTACCTTGCCTGTCACCATCAGCTGTTCAAGATTGTGACCCTCTTTACGAGCAATATGGCCGAAGAACTCCAGTACCCTACGAAGGCATATAGTAATCAGCCTTTAATAGAAAATGCAAAAATATCAGAAATTTTTTTTTTTCTTACATGGGTGGACGAGCTCACAGCCCACCTGGTGTTAGGTGGTTACTGGAATTTTAGTGCAGTGCAAGATATTATAATATTATATAATTTACCATTCGTTCATCCATAATTCAACTAATAATAAAAAAATACACTTATTTTCAATGTCGTCCCTAAGAAAATCATTTATGTGATAGATAATCATTTTCACTAATAAGATTATCTTTTAGTTTTTTCTTAAAATGAAAATCGTCTAGGTCTATTAATTTCTTTGGTAGTTTATTAAATATCCTAACGCTCATACCTAGTATACTATTAGTCTTTAATGTAGTTTTGGATTTTGGAAAACATAGTTTATCGTCGCGTCGATTTCTGTTTGCCACATTAGACATCTTGGTGAATCTTGGCAACTGGTACTACAAAAAGCTGTCGCGGCTCCAAAAAGCTTATACAAAATTTAAGACATGACCGGTTTAAACAGTTTGTTTTTATTATTCGCATTACCACGACGCGAAGTCTTTTGAAATTGTGGTCACTTCATAAAACAATATTGCTGCTTTGTGACAGTTCATCATCATCATCATCATCATGGCTCTAAGTCGGTTTCGGCAACGGCGACCAAAATTTTCAGTTCAATAACTTAATAGCTAATGTCCGCGCCTCTCATGCGCTCTAATATGGCTATGGTAGCCTATCTTGTTCTTAAACGTGCGCAAACAGAAGCCACACGTAAGAACACCACCCACGAAGTTGTAAAAAATGGTGGAAGGCGGTCTATTTTTCAATTTATCTGTCTGTCGTCCAGTTCAAATGTGACGGTTCAAATGTGCCTATGAATCGTAAAGTAGGATAATCATATGCAGAAGCGTTCAGAGTGAAGTGAGTAGGGTACAAATTAGTCTGGTGACGGCCACGACGAAGTTTCACGCTGCTAATATAATAATAATAATAATAATAATAAATTTATGGTAAATATATCAGTTGTCCGTTAGGAATGCCAGGTGTCGTAGGTAATAATGATATCCGATGAACAAAAAAGTTTATTAGTTAACACATAAGATAAGTCGACGACACGAAGACATACACAAAACCATAGAAAAGAGAAGGAGTGGAAACGAGTAGAACCGTAACACAAAATGTTCACAATAACAGCTGTTGTTAGCGGATAAACTATAGATAGCAATAAGCGTTCGGGAAGCAAGCGACACGGGCTTCGCGGCCGAGGATCTCAAACCGACTAACGCGGGGCGCTGAGTGATCTGCGCACGCGCGTCGTTCGTGATACGCGCCGAGTCGTATGTTTCCAATGTATGATGTCACACTGATATAGTAAAGTGAATGTCGTGTTATAATGTTAATATTTTGAGTAATAGCTACAAATTAATATTTACTAACAATCACGCCACATTAACTGGGCCCGTGCTAAGTTCATAAAGAATTTGTGTTACAGGTGTCAGATAACGGAAATAAATGTAAGATTTTTACTATACACATACATATATTTAATATACATCCATAACCCTGGAAAAGACTTTATATTTATCATACAAATATCTTCCCTTGGCGGGATTCGAACCCGCGACCCCCTTGTGTAGTGACCATGTCACTTACCACTACACCAGACGGCCGTTTTATATACAGTTACCGGCTTTATCTACGCCATGCTCGTGCAAGCTGTTGATTTAGTAAACGGGGAGTGAAGGCGATACTGAACTCATAATCTCATAATTAATAAGCCCACTGAGTTTCTCGCCGGATCTTCTCAGAGGGTCGCGTTTCCGATCCGGTGGTAGATTCTGTGAAGCACTGCTCTTGCTAGGATTCGTGTTAGCAACGTCCCCTGGTTAGAGTCCCGTGAGCTCACCTACACGTCAAGAAGAAGCTGAAATAGCCTCTCAAGGCTATTATAGGTAGGAAAGAAAAAAAAAGGTAAACGAGCTCACGACCCGCTCGGTGCTAAGTGGTTACCGGACCCCAAAGATTTAATAACGGGAATAGCATTACCTTCCTTGTGACATGAAGCCTACTAAAACCTGAAGACCTGAAGGATTACTACTATCTAAAAGGATTACTGTTGGCTTTAGGGCCTCAGGGCTATCAGCATAGGTTGGCAACCCCTCGAAGTTACTAGAACAGGTAGGAAAAATAAAAAAATAAATAAAAAAAAAGTAAAAAAAAAAAAACATTTATAAGCTCCATCTGTAATAACTTTTCGCGAAACACAATTTGGTGGTGAAATGAAAATTTTATTACGAAATTGCGAAATTGATCACGAAAACGAATGATTCAGATCTGCGTATTAATTTATTTAATTACATATAAGGATACAGGCTACAGGATCTACTAAAATAGCTAAGAGTAGGTTATGAAATCGCCAATTCGTTAAGGTGATCGCTTTAATGCAAAGCAGTGGTTTAAAAAAATTAAAACAATTGTAGATCAAAATTAAAACAATTGAAGTCGTCGTGGCCTAACGGATAAGACGTCCGGTGCATTCGTATGTAGCGATGCACCGGTGTTCGAATCCCGCAGGCGGGTACCAATTTTTCTAATGAAATACGTACTCAACAAATATTCACGGTTGATTTCCACGGTGAAGGAATAACATCGTGTAATAAAAATGAAACCCGCAAAATTATAATTTGCGTAATTACTGGTGGTAGGACCTCTTGTGAGTCCGCGCGGGTGGGTACCACCACCCTGCCTATTTCTGCCGTGAAGCAGTAATGCGTTTCGGTTTGAAGGGTGGGGCAGCCGTTGTAACTATACGTGAGACCTTAGAACTTATATCTGAAGGTGGGTGGCGCATTTACGTTGTGGATGTCTATGGGCTCCAGTAACCACTTAACACCAGGTGGGCTGCGAGCTCGTCCAACCATCTAAGCTATAAATAAATAAAAAGATTAATAATGGATTAAATATGCAAACAAATATAGTACAAAATTTTATCCAAGGGGGTATATTTTTCATCAGCCGCCACATTGATAATATAATATTATGATTATGATATTATATTATCAATGTAGTTGGCAACATGTATGTAACTAAACTTGAGACCTTAGAATTTATATCTCATGGTGGGTGGCGCATTTACGCTCTAGATCTATAGGCTCCAGTAACCACTTAACACCAGATGGGCTGTGAGCTCGTCCACCCATCTAAGAAATAAAAAATAAAAAAACAAATATGCATTAAGGGTAACTCAAAGAGGACTACTATGATTTTGATGTTTTGTATAATTTTTTATAAATGCTTGTTTTGTATATTATAATTAAGTTTTGATAAAAACCAATGGGAAGACATGAGAAGCACTAATTTTCAAATAATATAAATTAACNATGTAACTAAACTTGAGACCTTAGAATTTATATCTCATGGTGGGTGGCGCATTTACGCTCTAGATCTATAGGCTCCAGTAACCACTTAACACCAGATGGGCTGTGAGCTCGTCCACCCATCTAAGAAATAAAAAATAAAAAAACAAATATGCATTAAGGGTAACTCAAAGAGGACTACTATGATTTTGATGTTTTGTATAATTTTTTATAAATGCTTGTTTTGTATATTATAATTAAGTTTTGATAAAAACCAATGGGAAGACATGAGAAGCACTAATTTTCAAATAATATAAATTAACAATCACCGGTTAATTTAGAACTTCTGAGGTGCACATAAAAAATACAGTCGACTTGATAAATCCTCCCTTCTTTTTTTTAAGTTCCTTACAATTAACCTAAATCAAAACATATTAATTCGTTTATTGATTAATAATGTATACATTCGTTACAGTTTCGGTTTAATTTAAGAAAATGCTGTAATGAGAGCAATTACCTATACCCTATACCAATTACGAAGTCTTATTTGACAGATGTTATGTTATTCTGCATGTGAATTAATTGTATAATTATTTAAACTAGAGGTCCCGCAGTTGTCGAGATTCGACTATAATTAATTGGAATTGTAAGTTTGTACACTATTATGATTGTATTTTATACTTCTATAATCACAAATTTCGTCAAGACTACACTATAAAAAATATTAACAAAGACATACATTAATTAATCTATTCTCAATTTGACAACAGACGTCAAGAACAAAAGTTTGACAATAAATAGTATGCATGCGTGTGTGCGTCAAATATATGGTATGTAGTGTGTGTAATTCTTTCTTTATTGATTTAATGTATCTTTTATGCATTATTTTAAAAAAATATTAGCATTGTGCACTTCTTCTCTATATTCTCTATAAGTGTGTGAAAATTTNCTCTGGAATTCGTTGCCATCAGCGGTCTTCCCCAACAACTGCGACATTGGGTTATTCAAGAAAAGAGCATATTCTTATCTGAAGGGTAGGCAACGCACTGGCGTAAACGCTGGTGACCGTGGGCGGCGGTGAATCACTTACCATCAGGTGACCCGTCTTGCTCGTTTGCCTCTTAGTTGTTATAAAAAAAAAAAAAAAAGGCGTAGTGTAAGTGCACACGGATAGGTCTCCATCGTGATTATTTTATGTGTCTCTGCTTAAAGAGTGACTTGAAATGAAGACGTCGAGCCCACTGAGTTTCTCGCCGGATCTTCTCAGTGGGTCGCGATTCCGATCCGCTGGTAGATTCTGTAAAGCACTGATTTTGCTAGGACTAGTGTTAGCAAATTCTCTAAGGTTGAGTCCGTGAGCTCACCTACCCGTCCACGCGTAGCTGAAATAGCCTGCTGAGCTAGCGAATAGACCATAGATAGATCAGCGAANAGTTTGTACACTATTATGATTGTATTTTATACTTCTATAATCACAAATTTCGTCAAGACTACACTATAAAAAATATTAACAAAGACATACATTAATTAATCTATTCTCAATTTGACAACAGACGTCAAGAACAAAAGTTTGACAATAAATAGTATGCATGCGTGTGTGCGTCAAATATATGGTATGTAGTGTGTGTAATGTATTCTTTATTGATTTAATGTATCTTTTATGCATTATTTTTAAAAAATATTAGCATTGTGCACTTCTTCTCTATAGTCTCTATAAGTGTGTGAAAATTTCATACTCCTCCGTCCGCGCAATTTTCGTAAAAAGGGATACAAAGTTTTTGCTTCACGTATTAATATATAGATTTATTGTATATTTTTAAATGATAATTTACGACCATGAACAATGATTATTTCAAATTATGCGAAACGTGAAGAGTTACGTTCTAAGAATTGTCAAAAGGGACTTCGTAATTGGAATAGATTAAAGAGTGGATGAGAGGACTTTTGATAAATTGTGTTTTTTAGAAATTATAATTAAATACGAATTACATATTGATATTATATTATATTATTTGTTATTTTCTTTAAACAAATAAAAAAAGTTTATGTTTAAGTTGATTATTGTAAACACGAATAAAACAACATTTTCTGAAAATAAATCATAGCTAGATCGATTTATCGCCCCCGAAATCCCCTGTATACTAAATTTTATGAAAATCCGTTTCCGAGATTCAGATTATATATATATTATATATTTATGTACAAGAATTGCTCGTCACTACATAGTATAAAACAAAGTCGCTTTCTCTGTTCCTATATCCCTATGTATGCTTAAATCTTTAAAACTACGCAACGGATTTTGATGCGGTTTTTTTTAATAGATAGAGTGATTGAAGAGCAAGGTTTGTATGTATAATAACATTCATTAAATAGTGGAAATAAATTACGGTTTCCGAAGCGAAGCGAGGGCGGGTCGCTAGTTTAAAGATTTATGAAAGATTTGTTTTGTGTTGCTTCGTTGCCAGGCGGTGCGGGTCGCGGTCGAAGCGGCGATAAGTCGCGGCGTAAAAATAGGTGCACGTGAAGCGACGTCGTATTGCAGAGGTGGAAGCGCGCGCATGCGCTTCGGTGTGGCCATAGCTGAGAATGAGGATTCCCGATTTTTATCTAATGTCAAGGTTGTATTTTTTGCATAAAATATCCCTGAAGGGAGTTTCTGGTTCGAATGAAAACAACTGTCTCGTCCAAGTGTTAGTTTAATACTACTCTATTATTACAAATTACATGACTTATGTGTACGTTACCTATGTACACTACGTACTATGTATGTACACTGCATTCCTGTTGCCGCAGTAACATTATGCGTGGCCGTCATTTAGGAGCCCGAAGGTGCAAAATTACTTACACACCCACTTAAGTGATATAGTCATTTGTGATAACAATGTGCACGTGATATTCTGGACAGCTCTGGGATAGACCGCTTAATAAATGAAAGAGTGGACTATAACAAGATAGATATAATATCTGTTAAACTTATAAAACAAGCAATTTAATGTACAAGTGTCGTGGGTGGCGTTGCTGTGCGAAGAAGAAGAAGCGCTCGGTGCAGAACCGCGGCTCCGCGCTGCCCGAACTTCGATGTCTGTGCATGACACGTGACGTGATTAACAATCTCGCACAAGTGGGTATTCGTCAGCCGCTGTGGGGTTTGAGCGAGCGGATGTTCAAGTCACGTCAAGCTTACCAAATATGAAGAAAAAAAACTAAATAAAAAAAATACATTCATAAATTTAACTACAGCTTCAGTCGAGACATGCTCTTAGCAGGCTCACACGATGTAATTGAAGTATTTTTATAAAACGACTTTGTTTGTTCTTTATAGTATTTCTCAGTCACAGCTCAATGTATTTAAAGAAAATATATTTATGTGTATTTCATTCCATTGTAATACGTGATTGGGCACTTAAGGCTGTTTCGAATGACACAACAAACATAAGCAACTTTTCTAAATCTCTAAAACATACGTAGCTATCATTAAAATAGGAAAATTTTAACACTTAGCAACACTGAAAGGCAATTGGCGCGCGCGCGAAACATTCCCCAAAATCAACATGGCGAGGGTTCGTAGCGCGCTGTGCGTACATTCATACACCCGGTAATACCGCGTCAGATTTAACACCATTTGAATTAAATCATACGAAATTCAAAATTAAAATGGTACGGTGCATCATAAGCTAGTCGTTTATATTGTATTTCGTGTGTGCAAGTGTTGTTGTTTGCATGAGTGTTACTGATGATGCGGGAGTGCGGGACGATGGACGTGATTCGCCGGCCAGCACTGAAAAGCTAACGTACGTATTGATGTGGCGCAATTGAAAAAGAGAAAAAAAAAATAATGACTTGGAAAAATGGGAAATTTTAAACTGAATAGAATTAACCAATCTATACTAATATATAAATATACAGTGGTTTTTACGGATGTTCCGTTGTAACTACTGAACCATGCATCCGATTGACTTGAAACTTGGTATCCACGTAGAAAATACATGTACTTAATGGATAGCCTAATATTTATATGAATGTTCGACGCCCTAATAATAATGACAATAAATAATAATGTTAATTTTAAATGCCCAACGAAGCGGGCGAGTACGGCTAGTCGACTAATAAGCGTGTTGAATACAAAGAAAAAATAAGTAAAGAACATACCTACCTACCACATTTCTTTTTACATACGATGCGCGCGGATAATTTGACGTAACATTAAATTTTGTTTCATCGAATTTTGGATGTACCTACTCAGAATTGGCACATTACCGTAAAATGGATCGTAAGCGCGTACTTTCATGATCTGTTGGCATTTGTATCGGCTGCGGTTGCCATGGCCAGAGACCACGTTTAAGTTCTGAAGAACTGGCTTCTTTTTGCTAGTTATTAAGATTGGGTTTGGATTGGAAGGATTGGCGGATACCCGTGCTTATCAGTAGAATGAATTGTTTCCTTCTTTTTTTTTATTGCTTAGATGGGTGGACGAGCTCACAGCCCACCTGATGTTAAGTGGTTACTGGAGCCCATAGACATTTACAACGTAAATGCGCCACCCACCTTGAGATTTAAGTTCTAAGGTCTCAGTATCGTTACCACGGTTGTCCCACTCTTCAAGCCGAAACGCATTACTGCTACACGGCAGAAATAGGCGGGGTGGTGGTACCTACCCGTGCGGACTCACAAGAGGTCCTACTACCAGTAAAACTTCTTTCCTGAAGTACACTATTTCCATACCCGATTTCGTCAAAATCGATTTTTCGGTTTTGGCTTGAAAACACGAACGGACAGGGATACCTTGGTCTTAACAAACAATATTGTTTGCTAAGTTGAATTTTGATCAATTAAAAGTAAATTCTAATCATCTTTAAATAAAGTGGAATTTGTATCAAAACCGTTTAGTGCTCGGTAGTATAGCAATGGACAGAAACTAATCCCAAACAACACTATTGTTTATCGTCTATTGTTATTTTTAACTTATGTCCTGTCATCCTTAATGTACTTTTCTTCAGTAAATTTGCTATATCTGACAACAGATTCTACTGTTTCATTATATCTATTGATGAGATAAACCGTATTAATAACATTTGTATTTAATGTTGTTTCTGTTCCTTCTTTTTCTATCATTATCGCTACTATCATTATATTTATATGGAGTCTGTTCTTGACATCGTTCAACAAAGAAAAATTTGACAAATGATATTTTCTGAGATTGTCATCAGACAGCCAATATTCAAATGCTCCTAATATTTTAATTTGAAAATGATATTTCGTGTTACACTGTGTTTTAGGTCAATCTGAAGTTTTCTTTGAACTCCATTCCATTCGTCCATTCGTTTCGGAGTTTATAGGGAACATACGCACTTCGTATCTATACTAATATACAAATCTACAGTGGTTTTTACGAATGTTCCGTTATAACTACTGAACCATGCATCCGATTGACTTGAAACTTGGTATTCATATAGAAAATACATGTAGATAATGGATAGGCTAATATTTATATGAGTGTTGGATTCCCAACTAATAATGACAATAAATAATAATGTTAATTTTAAATGCCCAGCAAAGCGGGCGAGTACGGCTAGTATTATATAATAATATATTTCTTCTCAATCGTTTCAATCTTAACAGTGCGGTCTTTATCGTCATGCCGTGTTGGAGGGGGCAGACTTGACGAATATTTGTACATAAATAGACGTAACCCGTATGTAAAGTGAATTGAACATAGGCGAAAGTACCTGTAATGACCTTGTGGCGGTAGCCATCATACAACACAAGATATTTGAGAGACGCTTGAATCTCGCTTACGACATTTTCAAGATAAGCTTGCATATACACAAGTTCCGAACAACAACATTCGAACCGTCGGTCTACCGAGCAATATCACCAGCTCGGTAGAAGATCTTCCCTTCATCATTTAAGCCTTCAGCTTAGGCTACCAGCAAATAGGTATTAAGTACCCCATTTACGCTGTGTAAGGCTCCTATGTCGTTGTTTACGGAATAGGAAAGCTTTTGTTACAGTTCCTAGTTACGCGGGTAGAGTCCGTGTCGCTATCTCAATAATATAGACCTTCCTGATAAGAGTTACTGACAGTGACCACTGAAAAGTTCAGGTTCATTTTTTGCTTCAAAGCTGTGAGCTTTCGTGTGCGAGACAGCTGAAACAATGCCAAATGAAACTCAACTATAGGGGTGTCTTAACAATGTTTAATAATTTATAATCCGTGTTAATAGCATCGAAATTGGATTGGAAAAGCAACGCCGCAAATCAAACCCGCAAAATTATATTTTGCGTAATTAGTGGTGCTAGGACCTCTTGTGAGTCATAGTTACCGGACTTAGGCTGCGGAAGTATAAGACAGAATACTTCTGAAGGTTTTAATTCTACTACGTGTGAGCGGAGAACACTAATTTAATTTTTTATATTTAAGAATCTTCAGTAGCATTTTTTTTAAATTGTCACCACCCCTTTTAGTTCCAAATAAAAGTGCGATTTTGTTAAAAGTAATTCGTTACGTAGACGATTTTTGAAAGACATTTAAAAAAAAATTATTATTTCTCTTTTCATACGTAATGTTTATTGAAAAGGAACAATAGAAATAGATTACATGAGTATTTAGGTGATTTAAATTAGCTAAATTAATGGGTGAATTTGAAAACATGACCATTTATTTTCGATTATGTAAAATTATTGATTAGTTACCTAAGCAAAACAAAGCTGTACTAAAAAGCTACACTAAATCGTAGGGTTATACGTAACCACGTGCAAAAAAACCCACATCAAATGAAGACCCAATGATTATTTTTTCCCTACTTATTCGCTAATAGTCTAAGGGGCTATTCCAGTAGGGCAGACGGGTAGGTGAGCTCACGTGCTCAACCTGAGAGAATTTACTAACACTAGCCCATAGCAAGAGCAGTGCTTCGCAAAATCTACAACCGAATTTGAATCCCCAAAAACTTGTTGTTGAAACCAATTACTTTCCTGGTCTCTGTTTGAAGGAACATTGCCTCGTGCATAAAAATCAAGATCGAATGAAATATCAACTATCTATCTAGAAGATCGCAAAGCTCTCACTCATTTCGTTTCCTTCACGCATGGGTCTTTGAACACCACAAGTTTACCGGGGTATTTAAAGGGCTTTTATAAATATGAATAAAAAAAAAATTACATGTGTGCAATTCACACGTGGTAGAAGTGAAACCTTCCAAAATTAAAGTACAATTATCCTAAACGTCTTAAGTATATGTAAAATTTTGTCATTAGTAAATAATTGTAAGGTAGCGCCCTCTGTGAATTGATATTTTAATTTCACGTATAATCCTAAATTAAAATTCACTACAAGAGCTTTCATACACACGTTAGTATTAAAAAATCTCACAGATGGCGCTGTATTAAATAGTATGTATATTTCTGTCTCATTCTTTGCTGGCTTCATCCTACACATTTTTATATTTGTGTCTCTTACCTGTCGTTTTTTCCGTTGCATCCGGTTTGAAATCACAACGATTCTAAAGAAGTTTTCACTTCAAAAGCTCATATTAATAAAGCACGATTCCTTTGTTCTTTCGTCCTTAAACAACAAACGCAGAGCTGTTTTGTAGCAAGGTTCCATCCAGTACTGGCACGTCGCCAAACTCCGCCTACACCAGACATAATATTGTGTAACCTCCTTTAATAATTGTTGATTACACGGATTCGCGTAACATTTACACTGAACATTCTGAAGCTCATAAAGTTTCGCGTTATATGATTGCTTGTTTATTGATTTCTTCTCTTCGTTGCTTGCCAAAATTGCTGACGTAACCGCCACAGGAAAATCGACCAAGTAAAAAAACACACAAATAAAAATTGGTTTCTTATTAAATAACCAAATTAGGATTCCCTGTACTGTGGGTTATAGAGACTGATGTAAATACTTAAATAAGTTTACAACGCGTGTCCTATAATGCGGAACAAATCTACCGTGTTATATGGGGGATTAATAAATTACTAGAGATCCTGCAATAGTCAAAATTCGACTATAATTAATTGGAATTGTAAGTTTGTACACTATTATGATTGTATTTTATACTTCTATAATCACAAATTTCGCCAAGACTACACTATAAAAAATATTAACAAAGACAAACAATATTTAATCTCAATTTGACAACAGACGTCAAGAATAAAAGTTTGACAATAAATAGTATGCATGTGCGTGAAATACATGGTATGTAGTGTGCGTAATGTTTTCTTTATTGATTTACTGTATATATTACGCATTATTTTAAAAAAAAATGCATTGAAGTGCATTGTGCACTTCTTCTCTATATTCTATATAAGTGTGGAAAATTTCACACTCCTCCGTCCGCGCAATTTACGTAAAAAGGGATACAAAGTTTTTGCTTCACGTATTAATATATAGATTGTTACGTCTCCAACTCGAAGCATTGGAGGAACGAAGTGTTCTCAAGACTACATTCAGTCTTAAAGGATCTGATAACACTCCCTTTCAGGACGTATTATTCCAGAGGACATATTACGTAAAATATTCATATTTTTTTTCCTACCTAAGCTGATAGCCTTGGGAGGCTCTTTCAGCTTCACCCTAACGTGAAGGTGAGCTCACGGGGCTCAAGCCGGAGTGTTGCTAACACTGACCCTAGCAAGAGCAGTGTTTCTCAGTATCTACCACCGGATCGGAAACGCGACCCACTGAGAGGATCCGGCGAGAAACTCAGTGGGCTGTGTCTATGGGTTAATTCGCTCGTCGAGCCCTTCGTCGCAAGCGATGGGTTCGAGAAGGATGACGACCGGT